ACCATCAAAGTCACTCCAATAGTGCTCCTGAATTACGCTTTCATCCTCCTTTAACAAAATACTTCACATTCATCCAGTTTGTGACAGTAGTTTTAGCATTTTTGAGACTTTTAAAAAATGTAATTACCGCTGGCAACTTCCAACAGGAGTCATTTGGGGGGGCTCTTGGGAAAAAAGGTTGGGAACCCCTGCTGTAAACGATGTCTGGGTGTTACATTTTGACAATTTGATGTCACTATGTTACCGAAGTAAACAAAGGAGTCCAATGGAGGCGATTTCAGGCAGAGGGGGGGGAAAGTGTGTGGGAGAGAAACTCCATATGGAAGGAATTTTAGCCTTTGCAGACCATTGACATGCACACATACAACAGGAAAGAGAAGACTCCCAAAAAAAGAAAAAGCCCTCTTTAATGATGCTTTTTCTAAGCACCACGTATTATCAAAGAAGACACATGAGGGCACACTTTAGGAATCATTTATGAATTCTTTCTATAACTAAGAGTGGGACTGACTTTAGTGTTTCTTCCTCTAAAGTGTATTTGTGAGTTAAGACTGAGTTATACGTCCTTTTCCCACAATATAATTCCATGAATTTAAGCTAAAATAACATACAGCATGTGGTTAACTAATCCCCCGCACATGCATAATGTGTGAAGGCATTCAGAAAAGCACACACATTAAAATGTACTTCTGATATTGTATCCCACCTTTAAGGGCGGCATACGCTCACTTTTCACTCGCATTTAAGGACTCTGGTAATTATCCCCCGTGTGATAGGGCTCCGGAGGAAAAAAGGAATAGAACAAGGAACATCTCATCCTTTGTCTCCCTCGCTCTTTAATTCCCCAGCTCATTGCCGAGTCATAACGTAACGAGGGGTTGAAATAAAAAGCTGTGCGAGGAAGAGGGGATTTGTCTATTTCTTCCTCTGTCGCCCTGCGAATGTGAATTTCTGGATTGTGACAAATACATGTTTTATATTCTCTGCCTTTATATCTCTTCCCCTTCCCTTTGTGTGTACGCCGCCTAAATACATCCTCTTCAAATTCTTCCAAGTCTTTTCTTAAAATGAAATGTGATGAAAGGCATCCTGAAGAAACTGAGGCCCTTTTCCATCCAAACTGAAGCCTCTATTTGAACATAGTTACATAGCAGAGTGTGTGAAATGCTAAACTTGTTGCAAATCAACATCTGTGCTCAACATTTCCGTCTCTTTTTTTCCAGGCTGAACCAGAGGGCTTCTCCCATTTCCACCTCTACGTGTGCGCAGCCTTCCTGGTGAGGTGGAGGAAAGAAATTCTAGAGGAGAGGGACTTTCAGGTAACGTTCACACAAGACACAGGGGGCGCCATAAAGCTTTATGTTCCTACATCGAGAGAGCCTTATACTACATGTTTTCACACCCTGCTGGTGACCCTCATGGTGATATACTGTACATTGCTTATTTCCCTGTAAATGAATCTGGGTTTGAGTGTGAAAAACAAACAGACTGTAGAGACTGTTCATGGCCTACATCCCTCTCCATTACCTCCCCGATCATTAACTGTGGGGTTCAGAAGTCGTTGAGTGCATTAGTAGATGACAGTAGACAGCTGCCAGAAGGTGACTTTGGTTGCCAGCTCACTTGGGGGACTTGGCTTTTTAACAGTAGCAACACAGCGTAATATCATCACACACAAACATCCTCTCTGCTCTTTGGCAACTCTGCCTTTTGCTCTTGTTTATCTTTTTTTGTATCTTTTCTTTCTCTTGTCTCACATTTTCTCTACTTGAAAGGGTGTCAACTTAAGTGCATTAATGCTTGGAATCAATCTGGATTGACACCACTTATATTACTTCTATACTCATTGTACACGCTTTCCTTCTGTCTTTTCATTGCTCACTCCCAGGAGAAGTGTAAAACGCCACAATAGAAGGGAATAAAAAAAGACCAGATATGAGTCACTGTTGCACACTGACCTTCTGTACTGATGAT